AGCCCTGCAATGAGAACAAAATGGATCTACAGGGCCGTTGAGGTATTTGCTCTGCCTGTAAAGAAAGATTGCAAATCTAAGGAAGATTTAAACCATTTACAGATCTGCACTATTCTGCTCACTTCACATGAGATGTATTTGCCACAACTGCCTACAACATATCTTAGGGAAAATGGAGTCAATATCTCCCCACCTTCATCCCCTATTGTATCTTGATCCCCTATCACTTGTTGCACTGTCAGCACTGGTGAGGCCACACCTGGAGTGTGGTGTCCAGTTTTGGGCTCCTCAATTCAAGAGAGGTCTCGAGGTGCTGGATCGAGGACGGAGGAGGCAACGAAGCTGGGGAAGGGCCTAGAGAATCAATCTGATGAAGAACACTTGAAGGAGCTGGGAATGTTTAGTTTGAGGAAGAGGAGGCTGAGGGGAGACCTCATCAGTCTCTACAACTGCCTGAAAGGTCATTGTAGAGAGGTTGGTGCTGGTCTCTTTTCACAGGTAATCAGTGACAGAACAAGAGGGAAGGGCTTCAAGCTGCAACAGGGGAGGTGTAGATTGGACATTACGAAAAAATTATTCACAGAGAGAGTGTTTAGACACTGGAATAGGCCACCCACAGAGGTAGTTGAGTCACCATCCAAGGATGTGTTTAAGAGTCATTTGGATGTGGTGTTAGTAGATATGGTTTAGGGCTTAGGGGAGAACTTCGTAGAGCAGAGATGATGGCGGACCCGGTGATCCCAAGGGTCTTTTCCAACCTGACTAGTTCTATGACTCTATGAAACAAACAAATAATAGCCCAGAAGCTGTACACCAGGTTTGAGCAAAAATGACCCCCAACACAATTCTCAAGTTCAGATGAGGACAATTGGTAGAGGAAATTTTCCAGGGCACCAGTAGCAAAGTCATTGCTCAAACTACCAAGCAAAACGGGCTATCGTTTTTGTGCTGATTTGGTTACACCTAGGTCATAAAACATTGAACATAGAACCTTAACCATAGACCTTTTAATCTAGAAGATTTACCCTAGAAGCTTAATACTAGTCTCTTAATCCTTGACCCTTAACGCTAGACCCTTATCCCTTCACACAACTCTAGGAGTTTAAACTTAGACTCCAGACAATTTATGATAGATCCTTAAGCCATGATCCTAGAACCTTAATCTTGGGTGCTTATATCCAGAACCCAGATCCCAGACCCTTAACCCTATTCTCTTAACTCTAGACCCTTAAGCCTACAGCCTAAACACTAGAGACTAGAACATAGACCCTTTACCCTAGACACTTAACTCCAGACTTTTAAACCTAAGACCCTTAACCCTAAAACTAGAACCTAGACCATTAACTCTAAACACTTAACACTAGACCCTAGGCCCCTAACCCTAGACAGTAGACCCTAGACACTTTACCCTAGACCTTTAGCCCTATATACTAAACCCTAGACCCTAGAGCCTTAACCCTAGGCCTTTTATTCTAGACATTTTACACTAGAAGCTAAAAAGCTAAACCCTAGACTCTTAATCCTTGGCCCTAATCCCTAGGCCCTAGACACTTTACCCTAGTCCCTTAAACCTAGACCGTTAACCCTTGACTCTTAACCCTAGAAGTTTAACCCTAGACCCTAGATAATTTATGACAGACTGCTAACTCATGACCCTAGACCCTCCATACTCTAGACCCTTATACTGCATCTAAGTCATTTATGAATATATCAAAGAGTACTGGCCCTAAGATGGATCCCTGTGGAACCCCACTAGTGACCAGACACCAGTCTTATGTGACCCAATTTACTATGGCTCTTTGAGCTCGACCTATCAGTCTCCAGGGCCTGGGGCAGCAACAAGATGCAAAGCAACCAAGGGCCCCCAAGACATGGGGGATACCAGCCCCAGTGCTGTGCCAAGCCCACCTCCACCCTGTTTCACCCATCCTCCTTGGCAGCCAGCGCCAAGCTGACAGCACATTCCCTGCACTGTGCCCAGCTCAGCATCCCAGACCACTTCCATCCCTGCCCAAGGCAGCAAACAAAGGCATTGTTTGTCACTGGGGCTGCAGAGACTGGGGCTGCTGGCACTCACCCACTCTCCTGCACCTGCTCCAGCTCCCACTAGGAGCTGTGACACTCCTAGATGTCCTCAGAGGACATAGACCCTTTACCCTAGACACTTAACTCCAGACTTTTAAACCTAAGACCCTTAACCCTAAAACTAGAACCTAGACCATTAACTCTAAACACTTAACACTAGACCCTAGGCCCCTAACCCTAGACAGTAGACCCTAGACACTTTACCCTAGACCTTTAGCCCTATATACTAAACCCTAGACCCTAGAGCCTTAACCCTAGGCCTTTTATTCTAGACATTTTACACTAGAAGCTAAAAAGCTAAACCCTAGACTCTTAATCCTTGGCCCTAATCCCTAGGCCCTAGACACTTTACCCTAGTCCCTTAAACCTAGACCGTTAACCCTTGACTCTTAACCCTAGAAGTTTAACCCTAGACCCTAGATAATTTATGACAGACTGCTAACTCATGACCCTAGACCCTCCATACTCTAGACCCTTATACTGCATCTAAGTCATTTATGAATATATCAAAGAGTACTGGCCCTAAGATGGATCCCTGTGGAACCCCACTAGTGACCAGACACCAGTCTTATGTGACCCAATTTACTATGGCTCTTTGAGCTCGACCTATCAGTCTCCAGGGCCTGGGGCAGCAACAAGATGCAAAGCAACCAAGGGCCCCCAAGACATGGGGGATACCAGCCCCGGTGCCGTGCCAAGCCTACTTCCACCCTGTTCCACCCATCCACCTTGGCAGCCAGTGCCAAGCTGATGGCACATTCCCTGCCCAGCTCAGCAGCCCAGAGCACCTCCATCCCTGCCCAAGGCAGCAAACAAAGGCATTGTTTGTCACTGGGGCTGCAGAGACTGGGGCTGCTGGCACTCACCCACTCTCCTGCACCTGCTCCAGCTCCCACTAGGAGCTGTGACACTCCTAGATGTCCTCAGAGGACTGGTGATCTTCAACGTCCTGGAAGGCCTCGTCTTCCCAGGCCAAAGTTCCTGGACGCTCTGGTTGTCCCGGGCCCAACTCCTCAAAGGTCTCAAGCTCCCAGGAAGCCCCTCTGTGGGAGTCAGGGAACATTCAGCCCTGGGGAGGGTTCCCCCCCTCCAGCAGCTGGGCAGGCAGGAAGGACACTGACTGGAGCAGCACAGAGGGGGAAGAGACAGAGGATGGGGCACTGACCTGTCAGGGATTTTTATCCCCAGCCGCAGCATCTCAGGCAGGAACTGCTCCGTGTCTCGGCAGTGCGGGCAGCGGAAGAGGTGCAGGCCTGAGCTCAGCGCCATTGCCTGGGACAGAGCAGCCATCAGCACCCGTGGCAGCTGTGGGGGGCCCCATTCACCTCCCCCTTAGCCCCAGAGCTGGGCGATGTGGTGACGGACCAGGGGTGATGACAGCTGCGCCAGGGGTGATGCTGCCTACCTGGACACAGCTGCGGTGGAGCCAGGCGCTGGCGCAGGCAGGACACACCAGGGTGTCGAAGCAGGGCTGCTCTGACACCC